AGAAGAAGAAGAAGAAGAAGAAGAAGAAGAAGAAGAAGAAGAAGAAGAAGAAGAAGAAAAAGAAGAATTATTCACATTTTCCTTGTGGCTTCAAAGCATTCTGTCAATCTTTTTTTACAAGGCCTAAAAAAATTATTGGCCAGAATCATTACCTAGATTTTATTTTTTTCTATCAGGCCTGGGAAACATTTACATCAAATATATTTACATCTCTTTGAAAATGTAAATATCAAGGAAGACCCCTGTCCCTGCCTCCCTGTCACCAGGGGGAGTTTAGCTGGGTTCTTTGTTCCTAACTGCAATCACCTGTGTGATAAAGATTTGAAACGTTTTATTATCTCTTGATGAACGGCGCAGTTGGCCAGCTTGGTGGGTTCCAAATGACTAAGCCAGTTTAGGATGGAGGAGGCCACGCCTTCTATCCAAGGGCAAGATGTTGTGAGCCGTGGGAATTGGCAGACAAAATCTGTGCTCTGTGGGTGGTGCTGTCTGTATGCAGAGTGAGGTTGCTCCTGCCATCGTACACTTGCCACTCTGTCACCTCATGATCACCTCGTCTGTGATGGTGGCTCATTCTGCCTAGTGCTTGTTCGATAACAAAACTGGCTTCTTCGTTTGTAAAGGGCATTCTGACTGCCAGATGTTTCTTATCCTATCTCTGCAATGATCAGCTTTGATGATCTCTGCTCATCCATGATGTGGTGGAAGGCCGGCTGCCCACAGAAGGGACACTCCTGACCAGCTCAGAGGTCAGCAACTCCCAGCTCCCAGCAAGTCCCAGGATGGTAGGAAATGGTTTTGCCCAGGTCTGAGCACCACCAGCGATGCCTTGCAACAGCTTAGGATCAAAGCTGTCCAGCACCACAGAGGGAACCAGGCAGAAGCAGAGACCAGAAAGAGACGAGGTCTTTGGAAGCCATTTGGCTTTGAGAGTCCAGACTGGAGCCAAGTATCCCCAGTCTAAGTGCGTTATGACTGTACAGCTGGCTTCTCTTCCAGCAGTGTGGGACCTACAGTGAGGTCCTCTGTCCTACCTCAAATGCGAGCACCTGCAACCACAACCATGCTGGGCTGGACGCAGTACTGCACAACTGATGTGAATCTACCCACTTAACACCCCATCTGCCGCAGTAGGAAGGAAGGTCTTCTTCCCATTTTACAGATGGGAAAAACCGAGCCTCACAAAGGTTAGGTAACTTTTTCTAGCCCAACAACTGGTTAGATCTGTGCCTTCGGCACTAGTTTCGTTTCTGCGGCTTTGATAAAATACTGTGACTAAGAAGCACCTCAGGGGATAAAGGGTTTAAGCCACAATTCCAGGGAACAAGGAAGTCACAGCAGCAGGAATCTGAGACAGCTCCACGGTCAAGAGCAGAGAGAAATGGATGCATACGTGCTCACTGTGCTCAGCTGGATTTCTCCACTCTTGCACAGTTCAGGACACACACACACACACACACACACACACATACACACCTTGCCTGGGAATGGTACTGCCCACAGTGGGCTGGGTCTTCTCACACCAGTTAACTTAAAAGGCAAACCCTTCTCTATTCAAGTCATGCCACGGGCTAACCTAATATGGAGAGTCCTTCACAGAAATTCTCCTCACAGGTGATTCTAGTCTGTGACAGACTTGACAGTAAAAACTATCACTCAGTTCATAGAAGACAATTACGAAGGATCTGCCACACGTGAGGTCTTTGCCAAAGAAGCTGGAATCCAGAAGAGAGTCTTCTGGTCCTGAAGGGGGCTTCAGCTCAGAAAGGAGACGCATGCTGAACAATGGAAGGGATTGTGGGAGTGTAAACATTGACAAGGAGAGGAAGGCAGAGATCAGAGAAGCCAGGCCAGAGGGTCAGCAGCCGGGAAAGGGAGTCGAGACTGAAAGTACTTCCCAAGCAAGGAGATGTACCCAGGAGGAGGATCCCAGTGGGAGGAAGGAGATAATGGCTATCTGGGCTCTGCTTGGACTGGAGGAGGGAGGACGGCCTCAGCCACGGACAGGCGATATTTGTTCCTCTGTAACAATGTCAGGGATTTCAGATTTATTTCTAAGGACAGTAGAGAACCATAGCTGGTTTGGAGGGATCCACCAAGTCGTCCCAGCAGGTTCTAGCCCAGAAGATCTGAGCTGAGGGGAGTTCTTTACTGTGGCTTTTGTAAGCCCTAGTCAGATGACACATTCTTGATATTCAAGGACTCTAATTTTGTGCTGTCTGTGTTCCCGTAGACAGGATCTAACAATGAACTGAACTCAGTGTTTTTCACTTGATTTTCACAAAGGATGGAGATTGCCCAGCAGGTGAAGGTGCTTGATGCTAACCCAGATGAGCTGAGTTCCATCCCTAGGACCCGGATGGTGGGAGGACAGGAGGACAGAGCCAGCTCCTCCTGCAAGCCGTCCTCTGCCCTCCATAGGCACGGACCTCCCACACATGAGCGCACAAAATGAAGTGTGAATAAAAGATGCTACTAAAGATGAGACCCGAGGTTCTCCTCTAGCCTTCACGCACATACACACATGCATTAAGAAAATCCCAAAGCAAAAGCAAGCCCTGAAAATACCTACTTACACCCGGGGACAAAACCTGCTTTGGAGGTTCAAATCCAGATTTTTGGTCCCCAGGACACAACCAGGGACTCACGTTTATAAACCTTGCTTTTCTTAACTGCAGAATGGGTATGTGTATGGTAATTATTGTTTTGCCGGTGAGGGCATAAATGGCCCCAAGTATGAAGGATTGTTGAGTGGAAGACAATTGAAAATGGACACCATAATCTCTAATGTCACACAGTCACATACAGGAATGCATCCCACCATCCTTTGATCTGCCTAAAATCTAAAAGGACTTAGATCCAGGGTTAATACTGTTCTCCACATCACCAGAGGGCTAGAAATAGGACTTCCCAAGAGGCAAATAGGATGCTTGACCCAGCACCCACTTGAGAGTGAGTTAGTCCTGGGGAAGGCCAAATTATTTCCAGAAAGTGCTTGGCACAAGAGAATAGATAACCATTTTTGACAGCTTAAATTGGGGACTAGGGATGTAGCTCAGTAGATTGCATGCCTAACCTGCACAAAACACTGAGTTCCACCCAAGAGGTGGAGGCAGGGGGACCAGACGTTCAAGGTCGTGCTCCAACTCTTAGTCGTTCAAAAGCATCCTGAACTACGTGAGACTCTGTCTCACACTGTAACTCAATTCTTGATCCTCCGGCCTCAGTCTCCTCAGCTGGGATTACAGAGTAAGTCATCATGGCTGGCTTTAATTTTTAGTTATTGTGTGTGTTTGTACACTCAGGTCATGAAGCGAAGGTGGAGGTCAGAGGACAACTCGCCTGAGTCAGTTCCTCCTCCCACTATGCCGGTTCTGGGATTGGAACTCTGGTCGGTAAGCTTTCCTGCTGAACCATCTCACCGGCTACCCGCTCCCAACTTTATTTATTTATCTACGAGACAGGGTTTCTCTGTGCACCCCTGGCTGTCCTGGAACGCGCTCTGTAAACCAGGCAGACCTCGAACTCGATGATCCACCTGCCTCTGCCTCCTTGGGTGTGCTGGGATTAAAGGAGTACATCGCCAGGGCCTGCCCCACACCGCTTCACGAATTTGCGAGTCATCCTTGCGCAGGGGTTCTGCTAATCCTTTCTGTATCGATCCCGTTTTCGTAAATGTGCAGCCGAACGAGCACCCAGCCTAATTTTTTTTTTTTTTTAATGCTAATACTGTTGGGATAATCAGGACCAGGAGAGCCCTCTCCGCAGCCTTGATCCCAACAAGCCTGGCCTGTGGTGGGGCGGGGCGCCACTGAGGCACGCCCCCGGGTGGGCGTGGCGGGGT